GCATTTTCCAAAAAATTACCTAGAAAACACCAGGGGAGCTTGAAGTGTGAAAGTAATTAGCAGAATTAATCTACATATAAAATACTCCAAAACTACAACAATGAGAACAATGGCAAATTGCCCAGGCTACAATTCAGGTGACCTTTTAAAAACTGAATTAAAAAACTTTTCTGGCTGAAAATTTGAAAGAAAAAAAGGCAGTCTTTCCTTCAGAATTGCTTTAGGTTATGCAATATTCTATTTCTGAGTAATATTCTATGAAAGAGGATTTTTTAAAAAATGAGTTACTCAAAGTCTACCATTTATTCCCCTAAATATCAGTTATTTTATTTCACAATAAAATAGCAAGGTAAGTTTTATCACTGTAATCACTCTTAAATATCTTTTTAGTTCTGACTCATCTAAAATTAGAACGCTTTTTTAGCACGTCATATATCCAAGGGCAAGAATGGCTGAGTTAAGTAAAATGTGCATTTGTAGTTTAGTTTTTATGCATACAAGAGATAGAAAGTAAACTTCCAAAGATATTGTGCATTTTGAGAAATATGAAAGAACAAAATATTGAATATTTTTATTGTAAGGAAAAGGATGAAATGCAAAATTCCCTACTTTGTTTATTTGGCACAGAAAAATGTAACAGCCAAAATAAAATATCAAAAGAGCAACATAATATTCCCTCTTCTCCAAAGTGTGTTTTCATTCACTGGTATTGTAAAACAGTAAAGGTCATAATAAAGTAAAACCTGATTATTTCTGAACATATAAATTCAGAACTCCTAGTGATCTGGATATGAGTCAATCTTAAATTTCTCTTCACAACTCATAAAAAATGTTAACAATCAATGAGCTCAAAAGCTATATGGGAGAGTACCTCTTAAGTATTTAAGAAAACTTTTCAAATATATTGGAAGCATCTATTTATATGAAAGCAAGCAAGATACCAGTAATAATTCTTATCGGTTTCCCATATGGACAGGAGCTTGTTAATTCCTCTTCTCTACGACTAAAGTGAAAAATATAAGCTGCATGGACTATAATCAGGGCAGATGCAGAAAATCTCCACATTAATGACATGACAAAATAATCAGTAATGAATTTCAGACAGAGCTCAGCATTTTCCAAAGTGGCTATGACCTCACTTAAAACATATACCCAAATTATACATCTATACCTTAGCTCCAAGGCAGTTATATCTAAGACTGAAATCTGAGATAGAAATTGAAGTTTATCATGGAATAAACAGTAATTTTAATATGGAATTCATTTGAAAGTGTTCCAGGAAGAAATATTGTAAGCTTAGTTTGGTAAGAAAAAAATAACCTTCTGAATTCCTTCCTAAATTTCTCGCTGAATACAAAATGAAAAGTATATAAAATTTAGCTTTCTACTGATAAATCTATTTTAGACTTAATTTAATTCAACAACAAATATTTATTAAGCACTCGTGCCATATATTTGGTTCATAAAGCAAATGATCTTATTCCATGTTATGCCAAAATAATCCACAAATTATTTACTCAGATATTTGATCAACAAAATTAATTTGTACACATAAAATTCAATAATTAATAATCCGATGTTATATATACTTTGAATGTTTCTATATTACAATGTTTCTTTTACAAATGTGTTATTCAGATTCAAAAAGTACACAAGATTAATAACTCTGCTAATTTATAGATGTTTCAGTATTTTCTGTAGATTCCATATTGTTTCTTCCATCCTTTTTACTGTTCATCTCAGATAACAAAACTGATAGATTTAAGGGTTGATATTTGTACCCATACATCATGTTGTCTGCACCACTCACATGGTAATTATCACGTAAGTACTGAGGTATAGATATCTATGTACCATTTACCTCTATCAGACTATTAAAAGCTCAGTGAAGACAAGGGCTCTCTTATTAATTCTGAACTCTACAGAGCAATTAACAGAAAGCAGAATCCTAATAAATATCTGCTGAATAAAGAGTTCTGATTTTAAGTTACTAAAGTTAAGGGTCTACTTAGGTTAGAATCAAATACATAATTGAGTAATAAGCTAAGAGTTCTTTCAGACTCAAGTTTTCCAAATGGTTACTTCTCAAGATACACATTTGATATATTGTTCTCTCCTCAGTATTAATTATTTTGAAACATAGTGATAAATGTGTATTAAATGAATATGATTTGCATGACTGTGAGCAGTGAGTTGATTTATGATACTATGTACCATTTTGTAAGAGAATTGGTTCAACAAATTTTTCTTTTTTCAAATCATTTTTTGGCTGCAGAGGGATCAACCCAGGCACTTCATATGTCAGAAATTATATACAATGTTCTTTTCTTTCTTAAAGGCCTAGATTAATACAAGAGCCTGAAAATTACTAAAGATTTTCTCCTCTATAACTTGCTTTCCTTTTGCATCAGTACAAGCTGATTCAAAATGGGCACCAAAAAAAAAAAAAAAAAATCAACATGAAACTGTGTGTCCCAATCAATATCAATGTCTGCAACACAGAGCCCTTACAAATCTAAAGCTAGGGACTTATAAATCATAAAATTCAAATATAAACATGATAATATAATATACAAAACCTGTTATTACAAAAACCAGCACATGTTACTTGGATACTAACAAAGTAAAAAGGTGATTTCCCAAACCTTTGGAATTGGTAACTCTTACACCTTGACTTCATCATACATATAATCTATCTGGCATAAAAGTGTAAATCATGAAATCATCACTAGAAGTAAAATCTCTTCAGAACTAACTTTTTTAACTTTTAATCAATTTTTAAATGTTTACGGTAATAAAGTTGGGAAGGATGAAATAAATAAAAAACAAAATCTTACAATATAATTTCTGAATAACATTTATAATCTCCTTAGAGCTTACTTTGTGGGTCAAACTTCGAGAAAAAACAACTGGAGACATTGGATAAAAAGGAGATTATGGTAGCCAGTCTTCTTTAGAATATATATAGTTCTATTAAAGGCAGCATGGAATAGTGTTTAAGGTGCCAGGTTGGAATCAGAAAGAACTGAGTTCAAGCCTCCCTGATCCATACCCTAGAGATCCTTATCCCTTTAGTGCCAGAAGCAACTCTTTAAGATAATTCATAGACTAGTTGTTGATTTGCATTTATGGAGGGTTATCTATGGGCCATTCCTTCCACTGATGAAGTTCATAGGTACATCATTCTCACCTGCTGTTCTAGTCCTCAGTGAAATCAAATCTAGTTTTATATTCCAAGTTTCACTTAAAGGAAAAATCATTCCCATTTTCTCCTAACCATAACTACAGGAAAATTTGTGTTTCATTTATATTTATGTACTTAAAATGAAAGTTAAGAGTACTACTGACAAAGAAAAAAGATGGGAGGTGACCGGAAAAAAAAAACAAAAGAAAAAAGGAAAAACTTTTGAATCAAGAGATTTGGGTTCTCTTCCCAGCTAATAAGATCTGAGGATCATAAGATTTAGAGCTCAAAAGGATCTCTGGGGCCTCCAGTCCAATTCCTTCATTTTACAGGTGATGAAACAGAGAAGAAGATAAGTGATTTATTTGTCCAAGGTAACAATTTAGTTAAATAGCAAAGCTGGGATTTGAACCCAGGTCTTCCAAATCCAAATGCAGCATACTTTCTATTGTACCACATCAGTAAGAATTATTTTGATGACTTTGACCAAGTCATGTATAGGCCAAAAAGAGCACAATTTTTTAGATAATGTCTAAAATTATTTTTTTGTCAAAAATTTTCACAATTACATAATCTTAAGTGTATATACAATATGTAAGTTGAAGATATTGTGTCTTCATTCTAGCTATAGAATTATTATTCTGTAAATAAGATAAAGTAAAACCTAACAATTTCAGTGATAAAAAGGAACAATATCTTTCTCCCTTGTTCAAACTGTATGAGGAAATACACAAAAGGAATTGCTGGATCTATGTTTTAACTATTCACAAGGGAGTTAGTTACACTAATACTGTTAACTATGACCAGAAATGAAAATCTTGAACACCAATTTCTGTAGTCCAGTCTTTTTTTATTTATCCATGATTGTATGTATCAGGGGAAAGATTTTAAGTTTGTAGTATACTGGAATCAAGAGTTAAGAGTGCAGAAGTACTTTTATTGACCATGATTAAAACAGAGTAAGTTCAGGCCATATTCTTAAAAAATAAAACTTCTGGACCAGAGTTATAACCAACTTGTACAAGATATAGCTTATATGCTCCAGTTTGTGTTTCTGTGTGTAAATGTGTGTAAGCTGTCTATTACAATATACACAATGCAGTGAAAAAAATTTCATCTTTAATTTTTACCTTTATTAATAATGTTACCCCATCCTCTTTGTTGTCTATATAAAGCCTAAGTATTATGGGATTTCAGAAATAAAAGAGTAATTCATACAAGCTAGCAGTAGTTTCTAAATACCAAAAAATTATAGCTTCAAGAGAGCTCTCCATAACTTAGGAGTGACTACTAAGCAAAGTTGAGGAATGTGGCCCAAAGGTGGTGCATGGAAAACTAACTGCTTTAATTTATGCATCAATAAAGAAAAAGTGTAGTTAATGGAACTTGTTACACAATAAAATTTGTGAGTAGAGTATTTCTAAAAGTTATTGCCATGAGGATGTGAGCAATCTGAAAAAAATGTCATTCGCATGTTGACATTCAGTGTTTATTAATAATAAAAATGGCACTGAAAGTAAGAAACAGGAAGGAATTAGATCCCCTTCATAAGAGGCATATACAAAGGCAACTAATGTGAAAACATACTTGTACTCAACTCCATGACCAAACTAACTTTAAGGGAAAAATACTAGAAATCTGGAAAGTGGGACTTTAAAACAACTGTGGATCACTGAAAGTTCTGCTTTCTTTAAAGATTATGTTGAAGGATTTAAAGGTAGAATGGAGAAGAGTTGGTACTGGTGTATTGTGATTACTTAGCTAAAAGTGTCTTCCCTATTTAAATAATTCCAATCAGTACTGTTGATACACATACCTCGAAGAATTCTTTCCTCATGGCAACGTAGAAAGTCCCAGATTCTAACAGTTCCGTCATCAGAGCATGTAGCAAATTTATTATCCGTGGGTGAGAAACTGTTACATGAAGACACACAGCAGGGGAAAGAAGTCAGCATTTAACAGATTATCTGCGCTTCTCAGACAGGGCAAAATAAAATACTGTATGGCGTTATAAACAGGATGAAAGCGAAAGTATCCAACAATGGTGCCCTTGGAGAATGGTTCCAGCTGAAAGGCACATTTCATCAAAAGATGAACTCAGCAGAGTATTTATTCCTGCTTCCTAGTATTCAATCCTCTATTCCGAGAATTTATTTTAAAAAGTGACCTAATGATTTACTCTTAACATTAATTTTGCATACATTCCCAAAATATAGATTTGTCCTTTGGTGCCAGCAAGAAAAACAAAGGACAGAGGAGGGGAGGGGAAAGGGGGGCAGGGGGAATTAAGAAGTGAGGGTCAGGGGTAAGACACCGAAAGACACAAAGAGAAACTGAAGAACAGGTGAACTAAATTAATTATATAGTTGGCAATATTTCTGAAAACATGCCACTGTGAAACATGTAGGAACAATGCTCAGTATGTCTTTATGGAAAAAATACAAGTAGAGGTAGGAAGACAGTTGTACAGTGTTTGCTAAAGAGTCCTATGTAAAATGTTTCTAACTCATTTGAATATGTTTGTACGAAGAATTTCCCCATTTCCTTCCTAGAAAACCCCATAGAAGCTGCTTCCTATGGTGTAACTACAGGGAAACAGGAAACTAACCCCTGCAAATGAAAGGCAGTCACTTCCTTTTCAATGCAGTTAAAGGTTACCAAATTTCACTAATTCATTTCAAAAGCATTACTGTTATAACTAAGGGGGACTGATGTAGCAATTCAGTGTATGGGTGACACTAAACCAGACAGTTAAGCACAGGTACATTTATCTGACTATTCCATAAGACACAAAAGGAAGAAGAGTGATTGCTGTGGGTGGTGTTTTTGTAACAATGTCAACCTTCTACCACACAGGGGCCGCACCAACCTAAAGGAATGCTGCATAGCTTTATTCTGAGGCTGCAGCAATTCTTCAGATTCAGATATGAAACATTTCTTCAGTTTACTGTACATACTGAAAGATTATGTTTAACAGCTTGCTGAAAATATCACTTTAAACTCTATTTAAAAAATACACTTTCATAACTGATGTATCAACAGTGAATCAGGAGAAATGTCCTACAGTCTTCTTGTCATGGTTGCTTCTTACAATTTCAAAGCTTGAAGAACCCATTCATTAATCCTTTAATGTTTTTCACAACCAGAGAGTTTATCTGTAAGGGTTTTTAGTACTAATACTTCTTATCTGAAGTCTTGGAATAACCAAGCCAACCAGTTCTTCACTTAAGCCTTTTTCTTGTATTTGTGAGAACTATGTAGGTGTTTTATTTCTGCAGGCTTTATATTTTATTCATTTGGATTATTAAAGTCTGAATTCTTTATTTGGAATGAAATATTCTTGTCTTACACAATGAGCATAAAAAAGGAATAACTTAAATACATTGTAAACCATATATATGAAGAAAAGAATACCAGTGCAAAATGCGGCAGACAATACATCTCTAACATATTGCAGAGGCGGATACTGGGACAATACTACTTCAGAAAGGTGCCAGCAAAATGGTGAGTATGTGGAAACAAAGGAAAATATTGTGTTTCTAGGGTGCACAAAGTTTCCCAGAATCTGACAGAGCCCATGCATCTCTGCACCCAGCATACATTTAGAGATCAGTCTAACCATGACAATAGGAACTACAGAAAATGGTATATTGTGTATAAACCTGGCCTCTCTAATCGCCTCCTTATGTGCCTGGAACATCTTGACGTTGTTCATGTTGGACTGCCAATATTTCACATATCCCCCGTGGTCTGCCGTCAGCATCCACATGTCATTGTGTGACCAGGTCATGGCCCTCACTGGGCTATCGTGAGCCTGTGGATTAACAAAATATTTGTCAGATATTTCTTCAAAGCTTATCTAATCTACAAGACCTAAAGGAGCACATAATGTGATTCTGAGTTACAGCAACGATTAGTCTTGATCTATGTTTTATAATTATGTAAAATGAAAATACTCCACATTCTTTATAGTCCAAGAGAATGGGACCGCCGTCTGATGAATACAGTTACCTGTAATATTGTTTCAAAATTGAAAGTGAGTCCATTCCACAGGGTAAACTCTCCACTAGAAGCCCCAGTAACCAACCGTCTCCCTTCAGGAGTCCACTGGGGAAGAGGAAGAAAAAAAAAAAAAAAGAAATTTTAAAAAGTCAAAGTTCCCTAGACTTTCACTGCTTCATGAATAATGTTTAAACTTCTTGCATTCTTTCTCAATTAACAGATATAAATAGAAAATCTTGGCTTTTGCTTAAAAATACCTCCTTCAGAGTTACGTGAAATTATGTTAAAGACTACTGTTTTATTCTATTCATTTAAAACAGTTCTGATGCACTGGATAGAAAGCAGTGAAACAGAATAAATATGAATTTCAAATATATTTAAAATCACCTGTGCATTGTATATCTACAAACAGGATATAAAGAATCTATTTTACAAGTTACATAATAAGTTTATGTAAAATACACCAGTCTCAGTAAAGAGCCTATATTCCAAGAAATAAATGCAAAAACTATCATTATAGCTTATTTTTATTTGGTTAGTAACCAGAAAACTCAAGGACTGTATGAAAACAATTTTCTACAACTAGTGGTGATCCAATGTGGGAAGAAACATTAAACATTAAAAGGGCAGTATGAAGTGCCAATTTATTAAATTATATTAAAATTATAAATTATGCTAATTTATAAATTCACTCAAAATTTAGACAAGTTCATAATTCTCAGGAAAGGCTCTCTAAGCTCATGTAATATACATTCATGATGAGTTAGTATTAGACTAGCAGTATAACATTGTACTTTGGTAAAGAAACAATAGAAATGGCAACTAGATCAACAATTGAGCTATCCAGCACAGTCAGGAGATGATATCTTTCAGAACAGAAAAATAATTTAGGCATTTTAAATTTAACCATTTATCACCCCAGGTTTTCTTTTTCCTTTTACCTCTTAAAAATGGGTATTTTCCTAAACCATAGCACAGACATCGGGCTTACTTAGCCCCAATATTAAATGACCTCTGACAACAGAACTTTTACAATTGGTATTTTTTTTCCATCTATAGATCCCTTCAAAAGGAATGCAGTATATACGGTACTATGGCCTTGAACTGGCCTTCCCTAGCCTATGTATTAGTATTCCTCTTTCCTTAATTAGTATTTCTCTTTCCATATTGTTGTGCCAATTCTTTTTTCTCATCAGTAGTTCTGATTCTTGCCACTCTTGTTGCATTATATTGCCAACTCTTTGGTCATTGAATATTGAAAAGTGTTGCCTCCATTTGTGCCCCTTTCTTTCACTGGTTAAGTGCCCTCTATTTCACCGTCTTAGGCAACACAACATACAAGCAAATGAATCCTCTTTCCTTTCCTTTTTGCTGGCAAAAAAGACCAATCAAGACATCAAGGAAATCCTTCAGCATAACTAAGCTTTTTTATGTTACTGTTCATATGTGGAGACATTTTCCTTACATACTCCAAGGTTCACAACCATACCAGATAGTCAAGACTGCCAGATACCTCAAAGCCAAATAACTAAAATACTTATGAAGACAAAGTCTGAGGCCTGGTAAAATAAGTAACAGTAGGTGACTCATATATATCCTACCAACATGAAGAAAGAGGCCAGAAAAGAATGTATATCCTACAATGCACAACAAATAGACATGAAAGATGGGATAATCCACACCCTCCAAGCAAGGCAACTCATTAATTTTGACCTCCAATGATTTATCTGTAAACTTATAATTTAACAAAAACTAGCCTAGAGTAGCAGTTTGGTAGAGTATTAAATACGCAATAAAGAAGGTAAGCAGACCCAGAGCCTCAGGAATACGTTTTAAAGTTTTATCTAATGAGCAATTCCCTCATTTTATCTATACTATAAATTGGAATGTCCGGATTAAGATTAGTTCCCAAAAAGATCTAAAAGAATACTCACCCTAACAACAAACACTGGACATTTAACTTTATTGGTAGATGTCCGAACAAATTTGGTTGTTACTGCGTTCATAGGATTATTCAGCATTCCTATAGGTGGAACCAGCTACAAAAGAAGAAAGCAGTTAAGAGTATGGAACAAAATAAGCATTACAATTCTAGTAAATGAAGTAGCAATAATAGTAATCTTTGCTATTTTTCTTTAAAGCATTTACACAGAGCACGATACGATACTACAACAAACAGTCTCCTGAATTAGGAGTAAGTTATTAAACAGATTAAGAAATAAAGGCATAAAAGTCCATCAATAATACACAAATTTATGGTAAAAAATTAAAATCTCTGAATCTTATTTAATTCTTTTTTTAACAGCAAGAAAGCTAGCATACCCTAAAGTGTTCTGGAAAAACAAATTTCAATATAATTTTCACATTACATATCTCTTGAAACACCATCTGATCTTTTCATGATAAGATCTGACAAGGAATAACTATATCTTTCATACTTAAGAATACCTGAGGAACATTATTTTTAAAAATATTATTTTCCCTCAGTTACACGTAAAGACAATTAACAACTTTTTTTTAAATTCTGAGTTCCAAGTTTTCTCCCTCCCTGAAACAGTAAGCAATTTGATGTTATATATGTTCAATTATGCAAAACAATACATATTACTCATGTTTTAAAAAAACAGACCAAAAAGAAAAAAAAAACATGAAACAAATACAGAAAGTAAAAAATAGTATGCTTCAGTCTGCATTCACACATAATCAGTTCATTCTCTAGAGGTGGATATCATTTTTCCTCATGAGTCCTTTAGAACTGTCTTGGATCACTGTATTGCTGAGAAAGCTAATAGCTAAGTCATTCACAGTTCATCATAGTACAGCATTGCTGTTACTATGTATAATGTTCTATTGACTCTGCTCATTTTACTTTGCATCAGTTCATATAAGTCTTTCCAGGTTTTTCCGATACCCCCCTGCTCATTATTCTTACAGCACAGTAATATTCCATTACAATGATATACCACAACTTGTTTTGCCATTTCCCAATAGATGGGCATCCCCTCAATTTCCAATTCTTTGCCACTACAAAAAAGAGCTGATATAAATATTTTTGTATAAATAGGTCCTCCCTCTCTCCTCTTATTTTTTAAATCTCTTTGGGATACAGACCTAATAGTGGTATTCCTGGATCAAAGGGTGTGCAATTTTATAACCCTTTGGGCACAGTTCTAAACTGGTCTCCAGAATAGAGGAAAAATGAGAAGCTTTATTTCTTAGGGTACCTGAATTCAAAGCTCAGAGTATCATCGATTCATCAAACCATTCAAAAAAGGATGCTTTATTATATGATTCTGACAAACTAATACTTACATCATTATAATATCCTGCATCAGGTTGGATTGCCCGCATATCTCGTTGGTCTCTCTGCCACACTCTGTTCTATAGTTTGTTTAAAAAAATAAAAAATTGATTATATTCACTTTTATACTCCAATGAGTCATGAGCAAAATAAAAGGATATGTAATAGTAGGAGAAAAAAACAGGATTGAGACTGCACAGTGAATATTGTGAAATTCCTAAGTAAAGGAAACTTTTGAAGACTGTATAATCTATCAAGGCCAAGAGAATACAAGCACTTAAAGATCAAAGTCAAGATTTAAAGAGGATTTGTGCTTTTAAAAATTAATTTAATTTGAAAAAAGCAAATGTTATACGTATAACTTGCAATAAATTATTGAGGGTTTGTTCTTTTGATGCTTTATAACAATGAAATACAATAACAACATAACTAAGTACAAAGATGAGTAAGTTTGATATGTTTTCTCCTTGTAGGGTAGAGGGAAAGAATTCTTGGTGACTATTAAAAGTGTAACTCTTTGGGTACTATGCTTCAATTCTACCCTTTTAAATTTTAAAAAGGCCTTTCTAAAATGTTCTATATTTCTACAATAGTAAAGAGAATGTTGAACAAAATCACCTTTTCTTGATGACTCAGGGTCTTCATTTTGATCAACTATGATACAGTTTATAGAAGTTAAGACAATGAATTTGTTCTGACACAAAGCTATACTCTGAAATATGCTTTTTTCATTAAATTTTGTCTTATTTTTCTCTCACAAAAGTGATGGACAGAACAATCAACAGAAAAATGAGTTCCTTACAAAACTATCTATCAGCAATAGCTTAAACAGCCTTCACACTTGAGTTTTTCTCACATTCAAAAACTCATTTTCATTAACTTATCTATGTCCTTTGGCATTTCTGCAATATTTCAATCCAACTACTTCAACCTTCCTAGAAGAATTAATCTACAATTGTAGTAATTTAGAACTACAAAAGACTCTGGATATCATCTAGTGACCAGGGGTGGTCACTAGACTACATTTGGCCTTCTCAGTCCTTGAGTGTAGCCTTTTGATCCAAGTTTTATAGAACAAATCTTTAAATTATTTAAAGAGGACTTGTTCAGTAAAGTTTGGATTCAGTCAAAGGGCCACACCTGTGGCCTTGAGGCCGCAGGTTCCCCACCTCTGAATTCTAGTCCAATTCCATCATTATGCAGATGAGGTAAATGAGCTCCAAAATAATTCTGTAAATTGCCTGAGTCGACATGGTTAACGAATTCAAGTTCCTATAGTCTTTTTTTTTTTTTTTTGTGCTGAGGCAACTGGGGTAAAGTGACTAGGCCAGGATCACACAACAAAGTGTCAAGCGTCTGAGGTTACATTTGAACTCAGATCCTCCTGACTGCAAGGCCAGAGCTCTATCCACTGCACCACCTAGCTGCCCGTTCCTATAGTCTTCCCAAGCGCTTTCCATTACCCAACATTGCCCTTCACAATAGTCTTTATCTTACTTCACTATCTTAACTTCCTGCTCTGAAAAAAGGAATTTAATAACTTACCTGTATGATTACATTATCTTCTCTGATTAGATGTGCCATTTCATGGATTTTTAAATGCTGCTGCCACAGACCATTCAAAGAGCCCATTTTTAGAACTATGTTACATTAAAAGAGTAACATATTGAAGGTGGTAGTCCCTTGAGATTTGAAGAGGTCCTATGGCCCCTTCCTCAAATTGTCCAGTCCACAGGGAACCTCCAATTCAAGGAAAGTGCCAGACCAGTCACATTCATACCTTGATTCTTTTCTGGGCTTTGCTTGACTTGCTCGACTTCTTTTTCTACCATGCTCTCAAATGTCTACCACCCCATACCTAATCCAATTCCCCTTTTCGGCTGAAGAATGTGGACTACTAAAATTTTACTACTTTTCACTCATTACAGACATAGTAGATATCTGAACATATCATACAGTGATGAATAACAAAGTGAGTTTCTGTACTGCTCTCTGGGAAAATCATTTCACCCACAAAAAGCATATACTGCTTATCAATGAATTAATTTGTATTACCATATTTATTGTACATATGCATCTCCAAAAATAAGAGGGAGGAGGTCTAGGCAATGTAAAAAGACATGATATTGGTTAAAAGCTATTAAAACATAAACTATGGGAATGTTCTTGATTTTTATTAGGAAATCAAAGATATGCAAAATGTTAGAATATAAAAAATTGAAATGCTAGGTTGTTTTAATATTTTATTTTTAATATTAGGAAGTTAGTAAAAAAGAAAAAGTTATGTACTTGGTAAATACGTGTTACTTACTGATTTTTGAAAATACTGTATTCCCACAATAGACTATTTTTTCCCCACCTTTTATTATTCTTGCAGCTCTACTACATAGTCAGCACATAGCAAGAACCTGACAAATGTTTCTTGATTTGGAAGAAAAACTGAAGAGTAAAAACCTATTCAGTATTGTTTTATTTTAGTCGTATAAAAACATTTCATAATTTGCCACTGTCAAGGATTATGTCTTATATGAGGTCCAAATAAAAGAAAGATTTCATACAAAGCCCAAGGTCATGCAGATGTCACTATCTGCAGATGATATAATGTTGATTGATTCCAGCCCCAGAATAATAAAAGGTCTCTAAGACAAAATTCCTCATTCAGTCAACAAGCATTTATTAAGTACTTTTACGTGCCATGCATTGTGTTAAGTACTAAGGATATAAATAAAAACAGAAACAGTCCCTGCGCTCAAGGAGCTCACATTCTAATGGGGAAAAACAAAATGTAAACCATGTACATAAGAAATATGTAAGGAAAAATTACAAATAATCTCAAAGGGAAGGCATTAGCATAGCAGTTGGGGAACAAGAGAGGGTTGAATACAGTGAAAGGCCTCATATAAAGTGAAATGTGAACTGAGTTTTTAATAAAGTCAGGGATGACAGGAGGTAGATGTGAGAAGGCAGAGGCATATATTTTAAGAAAAGCAGGTAAGATAGTAAAGCTGGATTCTAGGCTTTGTGGAGAGGGTTAAAGTATAAGAAGACTGAAAAAGTAGACAGGGTTTTTAAAATTGTGAAGGTCCTTCCTCAAAAAAGAATGTCCTAACAATTATAAAGTAAAATACCAAATTAATAAAAAATTTCTATGACACACAGTTAGTGTATAGTATATTAGTAAATTTAGCTAAAATAGAATTTGCTGAAGGGCAGTAAACTGGACCCAGAACTGAAAAGGAAGAAAAGAGAAGGTTGGGTTGTATTTGGAAAATTGCATAGACCATCCCAATCTATTTACACACACACACACACACACACACACACGCACGTGCACACCCCTCACTATCTTTAACACCAATATTCTCCTGTTGATGTTGCAAATCCTGGAACACTACACTAAAGAATCAAGGGCCACTATTGTTTAGGTTAAAGGTGAAGAAAACTGATGATGCAAGAGTGCTCGTCTACTCCATTATTACTTCTGTTTCCTCAACCAAGGAGAATGATGTACATAAAGAGGAGAAAGGAAGTCACTGCTAAGAAGAAATGTCTCTATACCTATGTCTCTATACCTATCATCATATTTATAGCAGCACTTTCTTTTTTAAATTAATTTCTTTTTAGTTTTCAACATTCACTTCCATAAGATCTTGAGTTTTAAATTTTCTCCCCCTCCCTCTCCTTCGCCCCTCCTCAAGATGTCATGCAATCTGATACAGGCTGTACTTATACATTCATATTAAACATATTTTCACATTAATCATGATGTAAAGAAGAATGAGAACTAATGGGAAGAACGATGAGAAAGAAGAAACAAAACAACAAAAGACAAGGAGAGTAAATAGTATGTATGCTTCCATCTGCATTCAGACTCCAAAGTTCTTTCTCTGGATGTGGATAGCATTTTCCATCGTGATCTTTTGGAGCTGTCTTAGATCCTTGCACTGCTGAGGAAAGTTAAGTCTATCCAGGTCAGTCATCGCACAATGTGGCTATTACTGTGTACAATGTTCTCCTGGTTCTGTTCATTTCACTCAGCATCAGTCCATACATGTCTTTCCAGGTTTTTCTGAAATCCACCTGCTCATCATTTCTTATAGCACAATAGTATTCCATTACATTCATACACAACTTGTTTATCCATTCCCCAATTGATGGGCAACCCCTCAATTTCCAATTCTTTGCCACCACCAAAAGAGCTGCTGTTTGGGCAGCTAAGCGGCACAATTGATAAAGCACCGGGCCTGGAGTCAGGAGGACCTGAATTCAAATACAGCCCCAGACTAGACACTTGACACTTACTAGCTATGTGACCCTGGTCAAGTCACCTAACCCCAACTGCCTCATCCCCCCCATCCCAAAAAAGAGCTGCTATAAATATTTTTGTACATGTGGGTCCTTTTCCTGTTTTTATGCTCTCTTTGGGATACAGACCTAGAAATGGTAATGTATAGCAGCACTCTCTACAGAAACAAGAAAATGAAAACAAAGTAGATGCTCATCCACTAGGGAATGGCAAAACAAATGTGGTACATAAATGTAATGATTTATATTATATAAACTATATATATGAAAGATTATGCATGTTATATGTTAAGAAACAATAAATATGAATACAGACAAGCATGGAAAGGCATGCACTGAGGCAGAATGAAGTAAGGAGATCCAAGGAAAATAATACACAATGACCACCAAAAATGCACATGGAAAAAACAACCATAAAATAATCAAAAGTGAATGCTGCAAAATTTACAAAGACCAAGCATGAAACCAAAAAAGAGAGATGAGATGGGAGGCCCACAGGTGTGAAATGTTATATATATTTTTAGATTTTTCCAATGTATTGTTTAGTTTTGCAGATTTTTTCTTTCCTTCTTCTTTTTTATTTTTAAAGATATTCGTTGTTATACAGGATAGCTCTCCAGGAGAGGGGAAAAGAAATAAAAGCAGAAATTTAGGCAATATAAAGACAAAAGATATCAAGAAAAAATTATAGATTTTTTTTCCATTTTATGATTTTCCCATTTTTCTCCTTAAGTGTTCTGAAAGATCTGGCTTAGTTGGGTCTTTTACCAAGGTTTTATAAAGTAGTTGTACCTCCTATACCTTCAGGTCAAGACAGAATTTTGTTCATACCCTGTATCTTTCTGATTTCATTCTTTACAAGGACAGAACCTCAGAGTAAGCTACCTGACTAGGAAACCCCTTTATAGTATTCCTGACAAATAGTCATTTGAAGACCATGAGTAACAGAGATTCACTGTCTATCATGACAGCTCACTGCTTTTTAGACAGTTTCAATTGTTAGGAAATTTTATATTTAGTAAAAATCCTACTTATGGCAACTTTCGTTGGTTCTAGGTTTGTTCTCTGTGATTTTCTTCCACGTGACAGTCCTCCAAACATTCAAAGACTACAGTAGTATTTCCCAATCTTATTTTCTTAGGGTTAAACATCTCCTGTTCTTTCAACTGATTTTCTTATAGAATGGTTATAAGTTTTGCCAACAAGTTGATTACTCTTTATATTTAACAATTTATTTCCTGAAATGTGGTCCAGAACTTAATGTAGAAAGTGGCAGAGAACAGAGGAAGTATACTATCATGTCTACGTAACTCTAGTTATTCACTGAGTTCCAGATCTGTATAAATATATTGTCATATGGTCTGTATCTGTCTTTTCCATAAGAGAGTTAAAGTTTAATGTATACTTTGGTTATCTGATTTACCAGTAAGTTTATTAAAAAGGAAATAAAGCTAGCCTCTTATGATTTGTTTTTCATGAGCCTATTTTGGATTAGAGTTAGCACTTCTCTAAGTGCTCACAAACTATCCCTTTAATAAAGGACCCCATAATTTTGCCTAAGTATTGATAAACAAGCTCACTGGCTTCTAACTTGAAATGTGGTATTCTATCCCCATCAGAATATTAGCTTCTTGAAGACAATAATCTTTTGTCTTTGTGTCTTTAATGCCAAACAGTGTCATGCATATAAGAGGTACTCAATAAATATCTGTGGAATGGAATTGTTAAATCCAACTTCTTCTTTTTGAAAACTAGTACAATAGTACCTGTTTTCATTTCCAAAGCATTTCTCTTTGATTTCTCAAAAATCACTGACAATTTAACCATCACCTCTTTAAATTTTTATTATCCAGAAATGGAATTTACCAGTCAGTAAGATCACAGTTTCAAAGCCAGAAGAACCCCTAAGGGCCAATCCTAGGAGTCATCTCATCCAACTTCTTTAATTTAGTGATATGAGTCTTACTGAGGATTTGCCCAAGGCCACATATATATAGAGTACCAGCAGCAAAACTTATTCAATGGCCTCCAACATCTCTTAAAAACAAAAGCCCCACCTTTTAAGTATCAGATTTCTATCAGTGTTGTTATAAAACCATAAAGTATGAAAAACTACAATCTCTGAAGAAATAAAAATGAGACTCAAAATATGCAAGGTTGGTGACAGCAGGCTGCAATACATCACATGGAATAAAGTAAATGAACTAAAGGACATGCTTAGATAAATGTACATCTAAAAAGAAGATGAGCTGATCGCCTGGCAAAAATAAAGAGATACGTGACCAAACTGTGTGCCACTTTTAGTGGTATGATCAAGAAACTAAAAGAAAGTGAAGACGACCTCCAGCATGCCACGGTCTATGTTAACTATATGAGAGAGCATAGACAAGAGTCACAAATGAAAGGCTGCAATGTGTAATAGTAGAGGAACCATTAAAATTGATAAGATTACATAACCATTTCAGTCTGGTTCTATGATTCAAGAAAGAAACCAAAATGACTTATTGGACTGAAGTCAATTTATATAGTGCTTTAACATTTATAAAGCACAGGATAGTACATTCATTATTTCATGTGAATTTCACAACAACCCTTTAAGGACTAAAAGCATTCTTTCTTTTTATAAGATGAGGAAACTAAAAGAAGTTAGGTGACTTCATAGAGGCCACACAATTAATAAATGTTGGAGTCAAGCTTTGAACCAGGTCTTTCTCGATTTCAAGTTTCACTGTTCTTTCCTCTATGTCATAAACTGCTCTTGCTAACTTTGAATGAATTTATCAAGTGCTTTTGGATCTAAACAATAAAACAAATACATTACTTTAACTTTTTTATCCTATGGAAAATTTGAACATCTAAAAACTGCAGATTAATGCTGTTAATCTCAAATGCAGCAGTTATACCACAACCACTGTTTGGGTGCCTGTCAAAACTCTTTAAAACTGGTAGTTACTTCTAGTCACATATTTGTCAGGTTTATAACTGCTAGAACAGAATATAAGGCCATCACCAATTGAAAACTGGATTTATCTGAAATATTGGAATGCAGTGTGGTATAGTATAAAGAGTACTGGTTCCAAGGTCAAAGGAAGTGAATCCAAATACTGCTTCTGATGTATACTACCTGTGCAACTTTGGGAGGAGTCACAACCTTCTTGAGGCTATTTCCTCATTTATAAAATTAGAGGAATAAACTAGACGTTCTCCTGGGTCCCTCTGGCTCTACATCTAAACTCCTATGATCATACTGTTAGATGTTCATGCTGTATTAATATACAGCAACCTCTCAATGCCAAAATATAGATGTCCTCTTTTAACATCTCCCCCCAAAAATACTAACAACAAAAGTAAATAAATGGCAATCATCTTTTTAAAAGATAAAATATTTCCCTAATTTGATTTATGAAGATAGGAAATGTAGAACTATGTTCCTCAATCCTTAAATATCTGTATGAAGATTATTCCAATGTAAAACTATCTTGCTTGCAATTTCATCATTCATTCAAAGAACTATTACTAAGAAAGAAATAATATAAAGAGATAAATAAGAAACATCTTAGAGCTTTAACATCATCACTTCTTCTGTTATATAATATTTTGTTGAACCCTTTAAAACAGACATAGCCTGAATAACATTCTCATGGCCACATTAGTTTACAACACCATCAGTATTTTTTTTTTAAGTAAATTATAACCCGAGCTCAACCACAATGCCATGGAACTACGTTATACTGTATACTATGTTATAACTGTTATATCGTCATGGGTTGATTGTCCATAACACAAAACCATATGCGTAAACAATAGACCCAACCCCACGATATTATTTCACCTAATGTTCTGAAGGAGCCATTCAATGACATTAGACAAAGCATACCTCTAGCCTTTAAATGGAAAGAATTCACTACTAAAGCCTCTAAGATGTAAGCTAGGCACACCAAAAAATCAGAGGGAGTAGTTGGACTATGTTTAAACTGGAGCTGCTTTAGTATTAAAGATAAGGTTATTCCCAGCACTGAGTAATAAAGAACTGAAATGAGGAGGTTCTAAGAATATTTACAAAATTACAAGATGATTCAAGTTCCTACTTGAACTGCAATGAATTTCCACATGAAAAACATGTTTTTATTGAAGAAACAAATCAAGCATTTCCCACAGTCCATAAATTATTTTTGAATTAGCTACACATTGGTACTTAAAGTAAGAAAAGTGTGATTTCATGGCCTTCTCATAAAAGGTGGGATAGCATCCCACCTTACTCTAAACAAAACTCAGCATAGGCTGCACAACCTTATTCATTTCAGGGAGGAGAAAAACAAGAGTCAATTGATTAATACAGTCATAGGTAATTGAGTACAGTTTTAGGAATTTATCTGAAGTACAATCTCTGCAGCAAGAAACAAATAAATGCAGCTACATTTCTTATATGGTTTATTAACTGAACTTACCTCCAAATATTTGATCACAGAGGGATTGTAGTCTATTGTCTTCCGGTTCACAGCCTTTCTCATTCGTTTTCCATCAAATGTGAGCTGCTGCATCGCCTGCTGCTGCGCAAAGTCTGGTCGTTTGTAAAAGAGCTGCCTCGGTGCCTGGTGCTGGAACCGTGGCATATGGAAAAAACGAGGTGGAGAACCAATTTCTGTAGCCATGGTGATGTTTTCCTTCTAGGATACTGAAAGAAATTTAAAGAAAAATTTCTTTTAATATAAACATAGCAAAGTATGGTCTCAGAAAAGATTTTAAAAACATGTAGTCAATGACTGCTTCACATTTTCAAAACTGAAGAAATTTTTATTTTTCCATCAATCTAATGCAGAAATTAACTGAAACTGAGGCTACACAGTCATGTTATTCAAATGAGGGTAGCCCCCCAAACTATCCCTAGGCAAGATTTATTGTTAGATTCCACAATGAGGGCGAAAGAATATTGCAGTTTTTTAAAAGAGCCTCTGATATAAGTGGGGGGAAAGAAGAGTGGTAGAAGGCCTTTAAGAATCATCAACATTTTGGAGGCAGCTAGGTGGCACAGTGGATAGAGCACCAGCCCTGAAATCAGGAGGACCTATGTTCAAATCAGGCCTCAGACCAAACACTTGACACACACTAACTAGCTGTGTGACCCTAGGCAAGTCACTTAACCCCAATTGCCAAAAAAACAAACAAACAAACAAACACAGGAACAAAATATGGGGAACATAGGAATAATTAAAAAATGTGAGTTTTCATCTCCTGGCTTCAATATGACCAAAATAAGATAAACAAATTGTGGACATTACCTCAGAAAACTGTTATTAAAAACCAATGGTAAGATTTGGAATTACATGGCAGAAGATAATATAAATTAATATTAACCCAAAATCTAAAAATCTTAAAAAATATTTGGGCAATAGTAAAACGCAATTTTTTTTAGCTTCAATGCTTTTCTATTAAATCTAAATTATTTTTACCAATACTACAATTATATTCAAATTTATATAACATTCAATACTGAGTCTTTGCAAGGCTAGTTAAAAAATATTAAGTAAACTTTTTTTTGGTTTAAGACTGAGATAGGAAAGATTTTCGTAACAAACTTTTCATCATTAGTAACAATGAAACTATTACATTTAGAAGCTAATATAATTTTTATGCACTACATGAGCAAGTAGAAATGGCATTTTTTAAAAAGAGCATCTGAGGTACAGAAATTCGTAAAATATATGAGTCAATCCACCAAAGCTTAAATAATTATATAAATACAATAACAAAACACTTAAATAGTTGGACAAATATTTAGTACTGATGCAAGACTGTACCAATATGATGAAAAGTTAATTTGGAAGAATGTCAAACCATAGGAACATTTTACAGAGACAGACAAAATAAAAACTTTCATGTGGAAGAACAAAAGGTCTAAACTGTCAAGAGAAATAAAATAACTCTTCCGGACATTATAAAACAATAGTTACCAAAACCATTTGGTATTGATTTTAAAAAAGAAAAAGATGATCAATGAACCCCACTAAACAAAGAAAAATCAGAGATAGTTTAATTCAATATAAAGTACCTGGGGAAAAAAACTAGCTGTATGACAAGAATTGCTAGGAAAACTGGAAAGGCAGACTGGCAAAAATTAGGTGTAGAACATCTTCACATCATATTCCACAATAAAAATTCAAAAGAGATGTGATCTTTAATATTTTAGGTCATACAATTAAAAAAAAATCAGGCCCCCAGTTAAATGATAATCTTCCAGTGATGCTATATGCATGTTAAGGATAAAATATCTCAAACTGTCAAAGAATTAAAGTGAAGGTTCATTAAAAAGATAATGCAGAGACACACATAGAACATGAGCGAGCACATTACAATGAAGAAATGCTCAAGTCAAATTGTTACCAAAGACATATTTGACTCAAGAAAAATATGAGCCAATTACATAGTTAGAAGAAGAGATAGTGTACCACTTGTGGGTCCCACTAGTATATCTATGCAACCTGAAATGAGGGAAATGAATGGAACAAACAACTAAGGTTGTGCCAAGTTGTCAACTCCTAACTGACTTCAGGTCTGCCTTTGTTATTTCAACTCCTGAGAATAAACTACAAACCTAAGGAGCACTTCAAGAAATCTAGAGGAAGGCCCCTACCACATTGGGAGGAATACCTACTAGAAGATTTATGGAAGGACAGGGTCAAGAGTCAGAGAAAATGGGGAGACATGGATGCGTTGTGTTCTGCATCTTTGGGGGAAATGCCCACAACTATGAGATCAGGGATTCATTGAAGTATTAAAGAAAACTGGAATAAGATGATCTCAAAATGAGAAGTTAAGGTTCTGACCTGGGTATTACGACAGTTTTGCCCTCGTGACAAATAAAAAATTTCAGAAAAGGAGTATGTTTGAAGGAAAAGTACAAAGAAAAAAGAGACAAATCCAGCCTCAGACCAAACACTTGACATTTGCTAACTGTGTGACCCTGGGCAAGTCACTTAACCCCAATTGCCTAAAAATAAAAAAAAAAATACAAATAAAAATAAGAAAAAAGAGAAAAGGATCTAGGTAACAGCCTTGGATTACACTCATATAACATATTGATATTTCATAGCTCTATTTTTTGAGGCAACAAAAAAATTAAGAGAATAATCATTAATTGGCTAAATTGTGGTATAGGAATATAAAGAAATTTAGGAAATGACAAATAAGGGGCAGCTAGGTGGCACAGTGGATAGAGCATTATCCCTAAAGTCAGGAGAATCTGAGTTCAAATCCGGCCTCAGACCAAACACTTGACATTTGCTAACTGTGTGACCCTGGGCAAGTCACTTAACCCCAATTGCCTTTAAAAAAAAAAATGACAAATATGAGGAATTCAGAGAAATGTGGAAAGATATGGATGGGTTGACAGAGTAAAGTACTGAGCTGTGGTGGTTTCCAGACTTCTCAACCCATGAATGCCAAAGACAACTTAGAAAGTCAGTGGGAAAAGTCTGTGACTGTGGTGAGAGAGAGAAGCTAGGTCTCAGCCCCAAGTCCCAAGTGCAGCCTGGGGCAACGGCTGCTTCCTGAGCTTCCTGCCCATAGAGTGAGGGGGAATCTAGTGGCTGATCAGACAGGAAGTGCAGGGATCTCTTTGCCAGTGCTGAGGCAGGAATCTCTTGCTTTGCCCATGCTTGGATCTAAGTCACAGTTCTGAGGGGCGGTCCTGGGGCAAGGAGGAGTACTGGCGTGGTGGAGCTTGCTGTGGTGGTAGAGAGGAAACACCTCACCCCTTATCATACCACCTTGGAAGAACTGAAAATTTACAGGTCCCTAGAAGTAGCTCTGAAAACAGCTGTCCAAACCTCCGAAGCTTGGGACAGTACATTCTCCACACTGGAAGCAGACTCTTACCTTAACAAAGAGTTTAAAACTCAAGTGATTGGCCAGGATCATGAGTAAGCAGTGCAAAAAGAGTCAGACTATATTATCTTACTTTGGTGACAAAGAAAATCAAAACATATAACCAGAAGAAGACAACAAAGCCAAAGCTCCTACATCCAAAGCCTCCAAGAAAAATATGAATCAGTCCTAGGCCTTGGGAGAGCTCAAAAGGGATTTTGAGAAGCAAGTAAGAGAAGTAGAGGAAAAACTGGGAAGAGAAATGAGTGTGATGCAAGAAAATCATGAAAGACAGAGTTAAGTACTATCACAAAGTCGAATAACTGTAATAATGGGGGGAAAACATTTTTAAATTCTAAGAGGAAACCAAAGACTAATTATAAACTTACAATTTTTGGGTCAGAGAATATATGAAGAAATGTACCTCCATTCTGTCACGGGAAACGTGGGAGACTACGGATGAGAAATGGTGCAAACACCATCAGATGAAGTTGCTATTTGTTGGTTGGTTTTAATGAATTATTTTTCTTGGTTCTCTGGATTACAAATAAAGGTTCATTTGGCTGGAGGTCAAGGGGAAAGATAAAGAGGCATATCCAGAAACTACTGAAGGCATCAAACTTTTTTTATGTAAATGTTTAAAAATATATAAATAGAAGGCCAAAGAAAAACTGGCATGAATAACCTATCATTTTTATAGTTCTACTAATGAGATTTAGAATGATGAATGTAAGTGCATTTAGAGCACTTAATTTCTATTTTTGTCTTTATAACCCCAAAACATAGTACAGTGTCTGGCATACAATATTAAGTAGGTACTTAATAAATGCTTTTTGGATCAAACTGAACTGCAATATACATGTCAATTTCTACCTCAGAATCTATAAAACAGAGAAATTAAAAGAAAAAAAGATCCTGGGCAACTGTACTAGTATGTAAAAGCTGGGGCAATCCTGATATTCAATGCCAGTAAATACCATACATGGCATACAGGATAAAAAGTCTCTAATAGTTTAAAACTGCCCTAAGCCTTTGGGGACACACTGTACATTGTCTTTTTTTTACACCTGTGATGTCAAACTCAAATAGAAATGGGGGGGCCACTAAACTGTATACAAGGATCCCTGGTCACATAATGTCTTTTAAAAACCACGTATTAATGTTACCTATGTTCTATTCTATTCTATTTTTCTTTTTATTTTTTTTGGGGGGGCAAAATTACACAATGACCTAGATACACTCATTAGGGCCTGGTGCAACACCTCTAATTTACACAACAAAAAATTTAAATAGCAACAAGTTTCTTTTACAAAAATAAGAGATCTCTCTAAAAAGAGGTTCAGAGAACAATGCTAATGGAGGCTAAACGGTCAAAAAAGGTTACATGAAAGGCTTCATGAAGTAGGATCTTAGCTGGGTCTTGAAGGCAGGGCCTGACTACAAAGAAGGATGAAATAAAAGCAACCAAGGTGAGAGAAACATTATAGAAAGAGACACGATAATGAACTATAACAATGCATGGAGTGGGGAAAGTCAGAAAACCTGAGTGTGAATCAAGCCTCAGATACTTACTAGCTGTGTAACTCTGAATAAGTCAAACAACCTCTCTCAGTCTCAGTTTCCTCATCTGTAAAATGAGGATAATAACAGCAACTACCTCACAGGGTTTTTGTGAAGAATAAATGAAATCATATATACATACATGCATATATATATATAGATATAGATATATATATCATATACACATACATGCATACATATATATATATATATATAATGTTTTGCAAACTTTAAAAGCACTATACAAATGTT